GGAATTTCGTACTTAAAGATACTAAAACACTAGATGGTACTAAATATGGTACATTGTGGTTTGTGTGAACGGACTGAGCGGCAATCCTAAATTTTTGAATTAAAATTACTGACAGAAGTGTAGGATTGAGGCATTGAAAAGTCGTAATTATATGTACTAAATTGTACTAAATTTGATCAAATTTAAATTTGGCTGAACTGATAGAGATGGAAAAGTCATATATCGTGTAAGGCAATGACAATTCCTTCAAGACCCTTTGCAGACAACAATGTGAAATCGTTGACGAAATTTGCACGCAAGTGTCGCAGTATTTATGCACGACAACTTGGGCGACAGGGTAAGCGAAGTCGTCGTTGACGACAACTTCAGCGACTAATCTCCCTACTTTTCGTTAACGACAGATTCACTTCCTGTCGTTTATACATTAGTTGATGACTGATGCATAAACGTTGACGAAACGTTGATTTCGTCAACGTTTCGTTAACGAAATTGTCACGCAAGAGAGTATTTTCTTCTGGGCATTTTAAATGTTCCAGTTAGATATTGATCAAAGTGATTTACTATTTTTACGGATTTTAGGCACAAATGTCAGCCAAAGTTTATATTTTGGATTTTCAGAGGATAAAATACATATTTGGTATATTGAAGACCAACATATATAGACCTTAATATCTACAATGGAGGAAGCGGTAGAATTATTCACATACAATGGAAATCAAAGCGGAAATTCTAATTGTAGCAAATCGGTTTCTCCTATGCGAACTTTTTAATTATTTATGACGAATTCATTGCCAAACAAACTTTTTTTAAAAAAAAAAGACATAATGTGTAATCTTAAATTAAATTAATATTAAATTTCGTACGAGAATTTATTTTATATTTGTTTGTGTCAATTGTGCGATTTTTTAATGTGCAATTCGATTCGATTTTTTACGTATATTGTAGCAATACATTGTTTAGCATTGGCAACACTGTTTTGCTCCTGTTTGATCATTCCTTCGGTTACCGAATGAAGACAGCCAGTCAGGTATTTTGTTATTTAATAGCAATTGTTGACATTTATATATGTCTGTATATATGTATGTATTTAAAAATGAGAGACACAAATGCGAATTGTTTGAATTCTCCCACATGCATTGTTTACAATTTATCTGTGAATGAGAAATCTATTGTTTTTTTCTTACGATTTTGTGGCTCTGTTGGGGAGAGAGTAATTGTTGTTGTTTTTTGCCGGCTTGAGATATTTAACAGTGATCTCATTTGTTACATTATTTTTGAAATTGGATAAACACTAATTCTGTTTACAAATATTATTGATAATTATTCCATTATCATATATTCATTAGCATTTTATGCAAATTTAATTTATTAACAAACATTTAAAAATACACAAACAAGTGTCAAAGAGAGTCGTTCTCTAGCGGTTGCTAGAATTACCCCATTCAAAGAATTTAAATGAGACATCGTTAAAAATGTTACTCATATTGTAATAAATTCATTGAGTGGTCAGTGTGGTAAATTTGTCTACAACTGTTAATATAAATAGTAGTAGACACAGTGGGTTGAAGAGTTAATAGACTGGAGAATTTTAATATAGCAAATCAATCGTTGGACATATCAATAAATGCCGAATTAATTATTTAGGAGTCTTGGAGGCACAGAAAATGATAATTATAGGTCCATCATTTGATATAGCCCCCCTATATAGGTCTCGACTCAGTTTCAGTTAAATGGTATTTTCTCACCTCAAAAGTTGTAATTTTGACTTCCGGTCGTGACATGACAAACATCTTTGCTCAAAGTAAACATCGTTCCCAATTTTCGATATTTTTTATGGTATTAGCCACAGTTTCCAACCGAAGTGGAGGGTGACTTAAATCTGTCCTGAAACTGATCAACATAGGTCCATGTTTTATCATAGATTCCATATAAAGGTCCCACCCAATTTTAGGTATTTTGAAGGCTTTATGCGAGGAGATTGTAATTTTGTTCTTTGAATTCATGGCTAATAAAAAATTTGTCGATATGGTCTATATATTTTGGGCACAAAATAAAAACAAAAAGCGTTTCGGCGAATTTTTAGTATATTCCCGCTGAATTTCTTGTAGTAGGCTTTCCGGAATACAGACGAATAAAAAAAATACTTCCCGAAAAATCGTAAGGTTATAAACTTCATGAAGAAAATTTTCGATATGATTCCATGTTTTGGGGACTATGTCCCTTATAAATATTTGAGGCCTCAAGAGTTTGTAACGTCGCGAAATATTGGTCCTAGACCAACTTTTAAGTAGACCTGTGCGTCCGTCTGTTCATTATAATTTTTCAAACACGATACAGGCCAGAGTTATGGACCAATCGTCACAAAATTTTGCATGTAGGGCGGATTCTGGCCAAAGAAGTGCCCTATTGGCTTTGGTAATGTTCGGTTAATATTTAGAGAACGAAATTGGCCAAAAAACATAATTTTTGTCTACGTTTCTGATCGTTCCAGAGGCCGCAATTATGACCTAAACATCACAAAATTTTGCCATGTGGAAGGGGATCTGCCAAAGAATAAGGATGAATGTTTTAATCCGTGAATATTTAGGGGGTCAAAGGAACCCAGATTTTTGTGTGAAAATTAAAAAAGATTTACAAGCGCGTCGGTCTTGTGCGCAAGTCCACAAATTTGGAAGACCACGTTCCACGATGTTGTTTTCTACTTGGTCTTTCCATCTAATTCGTGGCCTTCCCCTTCTACGGGAATCATTAGTAGGCTCGTTTTTATATGCCTTTTGAGCTGGGGCATTTTCATTCATCCGCACAACATGGCTTAGCCACCGTAGTCGCTGCAGCTCAATACGACTGACTATGTCGATGTCCGCGTATAAATTGTAAAGCTCGTGGTTCATTCGACGCCGATATTCGCCGTCGACGCAGATCGGCCCGTAGATCTTTCGGAGAATTTTTCTCTAAAACACCCCAAGAGCTGCTTGCGCAAGTACCCATGCTTCTGATCCATATAATAGCACGGGTAGTATCAGCGTCTTGTAAAGTGTGAGTTTGGTCTGGTGGGAGGTGGCCTTGTTTCTAAACTGCTTACTTAGACCATAGTAGCATCTGGTGGCCATCACAATCCTTCTCCGAATTTCAAAACTGATCTCATTCGTTTTATTTATGGCGGTACCAAGGTATATAAAGTCTTTAACTACCTCGAAGCTGTAGTTCTCAAGTTCCACAGTTGGTCCGAGTCTACTGGATGTCTTGCGCGTTGATAGCATCAGCTTGGTTTTCTCGCCGTTTACTGCCAGACCCACTTTGGCAGACTCCTTTTCAATTTGTTCAAAGGTGGCTGTTACCGCTCGCAATTTTCGACCCATTATATCGATGTCATCGGCGTAGGCGAGTAACATGTGTTGTTTGGTGTACAGAGTGCCATTTCTGTTCACCTTTGCGTCTCGTATGACATTTTCCAACAGGATGTTAAAAAGATCTCACGACAAACTGTCACCTTGTCTGAATCCTCGTTCGGTATTGAAGGGCTCCGATAGGTCCTTTCCTACTTTAACTGCTGACCTTGTGCCACTTAAAGTAATCCTGCATAGCCGTATTAATTTTGCAGGAATGCCTAACGCAGACATGGCTTTAAACACTTCTGAACGGATAGGGCTGTCGAATGCGGCTGTATAGTCGACAAATATGTAGTATGAGTCGATATGTTTTTCGTGGGTCTTTTCCAGGATTCTGGTCAATGGTGGATTTGCCAGGTCTGAAGCCGCATTGGTATGGTCCGATGATGTCATTTACCATTGGCTTCAATCGTTCACACAGCACACTGGATAGCAATTTATATGAAATGTAAAGGAGACTTATTCCTCTATAGCGCAGATGGCTCGGAAATTTTTGCATGAGGTTCCGTGTTAATTTTAATATTTTTCTCCAGGTAAAAATGATTCGGAAAAGATTCTGCAGGGAGCTGTTGACCTCTAATCGGCCAAGAGTGTGCAAATATCGCGAAATATGACCCAGGCTTGAAATATAGATCGGCAGAGATGTAGAGCTCAGTGGTAGTTGAGTCGGTCCAGTCCAGTGGTTTTTGGTGTGTTGTAGTGCCTAGCCTAGTTTTCTAAAGTCAGTGTCTGTGATTATCTCAGGGTATAAATAACCTATCGGAGTCTATGAAAAGTACTGCCCGGCCGAACATAAAATGTGTAATCTTCAGGACTTAAATTTTTTAATAAAATAATTGCAGGCGACATTTTTGCTACAGGACTACATATACTACACAAAAATATAGTCCTGATAGTCTACGATTTTTGTCTGCAGGAAAAAGGAATTCTCTATAGAAAAACACATTGTCTTGTGGGTCTACAAATTTTCGTCTGTGAAAGAAAATGTCTTGAAAACTATAAAAAACCTGAACTTCTGAGAACAACTCATTTTTTCTATACTGTACTGAAAATAAATTACGCCTCCAATACTGCTTTGCTAACAAGGTTTTAATTAGTTGGTATTAATTGGTGTTAAGATTTTCCAGTCAAAATATTTAGTTGTTTCTAATTGGAATCCCCTAGAAAAGGGGATATACCAACAAGTTAACACTCCCACAACAACAACTGCCAAGAATAAGTAAAACAAATATTTTAATGACAAACACATAGCGATCTGAGAGAGGAGAGTGAATCAACAAAGTTTCTAAAAATGACTTGCGGTGTTTGTTTTGGTTTTATAGCCTAATCGCATCTGAGATAAATCATTCATTTTAAATATAAATAAACAAATAATAACAATAATAAAAACAACAAAAACAACTGTCAATACATAAGACATGAAAAACTTTACAATAAACTTGTCTGATGTTATCTTTATGGGCAAACGTCATAAAAATCTGACGACGACGATGAGACGCAGCTGCAGCTGATAAATTTCAATTACAAGCGAATTCTGAATGAGCCGACTCAGTGGCTGGTTGGCTGGGTGTTACTTTCAATTCGAGATATTAGTCTTGAATCGGTTCTCATCTCGTTTGGCAATGGATAACAAAGTGAAGTCGGTGGCAAGTCGCGTTAAATTGAAGTCGACGCAAATTTTCATTGTGGCCGGAACGGTGTTAATGGCCATGGTCATATCGTTGATTTGTATAGGTCTGACAGTACGCTATGAAGTGGATACGGACACGGTAGATGCTGGCAGTATTGGATATTGGACAATGAATTTGCCACCGGAGCAAGAGGAATGGTTTGCAAGGGGTGTGGAAGATCTAAGGCTAACCTCGAAGGGTACTCAACGCTATAAGGGGGAGGTGAAAAATGTGATTGTATTTTTGGCGGATGGTGTAACGACGGAAATGTTGGCAAGAGCCCGCTTTGGGGAGGATGGGAATGTAACGGATTATCTGTGGGATTCATTTCCCCATTTGGGGGTATTGAAGGTAGGAGGAGGGGCTTTAAAGATAATTTCCAAAAATTAATTATGTGGTTTCTAAACTTACAGAGTAGCTGTGGTTACACAGCCAATTGTGATATCTTCTCCATGGGCACCGCCCTATTTGGTGGTGTCAAAACCCGTATGGGTTTGGGAGGCCTCGATAGACGTGTAGAGTTTCAAAATTGTAGTCAAGCGAATATGGCAACATATCATGTACAAAGTATAATGGAACAGGCTCAGGCCAAGCAGCTGCGGACTGGGTTTATTACCACCAAACGTGTTACCAGTAATCCAGTGGCAGCACTCTATGCCCACACTGCCGACACGGACTGGGAATGTGATACCGCCATGCCAAAAGAAAAACGTTTGTCTTCCGATTGTCTGGATGTTGCGGAACAGTTAATGAACAGTGAAACGGGTCAACAACTCAACGTCATTATGGGTGGTGGTAAACAGACCTTGGTGTCACTTCTTGCTAACGATACCGATGTTGATGCGAGCGCTTGTGATTCGAAAGATAAGCGAAATCTTTAACAAGATTGGAAAGCCACAAAATTGGAAGAGAATGTCAAATTTAAATTATTGGAAACAACAAAAGATCTGCTGAAATTTAATGGTACCTCGCGTGACTATGTCTTGGGCATCTTTGCCAATGGCAATGTTCGGGAGAAAAGTCCTGCATTTAGCGATATGGTTTCAAAAGCCCTGAATGTTTTGAGGAGACCTAACTCGGGTTATGTTTTTGTGGCCGAAACTGATATACGAGGTAACGGTGTGGGAGATTTTCGTGAAACACTGCTGGAATTTAATCGGACCATAACGGATACTTTGGATAATTCGAGGTGAGTATGAGGTCCAAAGAGAGTATTATTCCGAGGCGTAGATATAGACGTAGATTCTTAAGGAATATCTTTTTCAGAGACTAATAATAGACATGTATGTCTAAAAATAGCTGTGGATTTTTAAAGAATATTTTTTCCGAGGTCTATAAATAGGCGTGGATTTTTAAAGAATATTTTTTCCGAGGTCTATAAATAGGCGTGGATTTTTAAAGAATATTTTTCTAAGGTCTCTAAATAGGCGAGGATTTTTAAAGAATATTTTTATAAATAGGCGTGGATTTTTAAAGAATATTTTTTCCGAGGTCTATAAATAGGCGTGGATTTTTAAAGAATATTTTTTCCGAGGTCTATAAATAGGCGTGGATTTTTAAAGATTATTTTTTTCCGAGGTTTATAAATAGGCGTGGATTTTTAAAGATTATTTTTTTCCGAGGTTTATAAATAGGCGTGGATTTTTTAAAGATTATTTTTTTCCAGGACCTTTAAGGCGTGGATTTTTTAAAGATTATTTTTTTCCAGGACCTTTAAGGCGTGGATTTTTTAAAGATTATTTTTTTCCAAGGTTTAAAAATAGGCGTGGATTTTTAAAGATTATTTTTTTAAGCATCCAACATTTGGCGTGGATTTTTAAAGATTATTTTTTCCGAGGTTTATAAATAGGCGTGGATTTTTAAAGATTATTTTTTTCCGAGGTTTATAAATAGGCGTGGATTTTTAAAGATTATTTTGTTCCGAGGTTTATAAATAGGCGTGGATTTTTAAAGATTATTTTTTTCCGAGGTTTATAAATAGGCGTGGATTTTTAAAGATTATTTTTTTCCGAGGTTTATAAATAGGCGTGGATTTTTAAAGATTATTTTGTTCCGAGGATCCAATAGGCGTGGATTTTTAAAGATTATTTTGTTCCGAGGTTTATAAATAGGCGTGGATTTTTAAAGATTATTTTTTTCCGAGGTTTATAAATGCTGTACCAAATTCCCTATATATACCTCGATTTGCATGAAATTTGGTACAGCGTACGGAATTAAGTTTAGAGTGATCTGTGCCAAGTTTCGAGAAAGTCGGGTCCGATTCAGATAAAACTCCCATATATATTTTCGTCCGATTTAAGGTAAATGAATTAAGGTACTGAATTAAGTCTAGAATGATGTGTGGTTAGATTCATGAAAATCGGTTCAGTATTAGTTATAGCTCCCGTATATATTTACGTCTGATTTTATGTAAATGGTGCAACAAAGTCCCTTTATACTCTTCGATTTGCATACAATTTGGCATAAGTCTAGAATGATGTGTGCTTAGATTCGTGAAAATCGGTTCAGTATTAGACAACGCTCCCGTATATATTTACGTCCGATATTATTTAAATGGTGCCCCAAAGTCCCTTTATATTCTTCGATCTGCACGAAATTTGGCATAGCGTACTGAATTGAGTCTAGCTCCCACATATGTATATATATATATAGCTCCCACATATACATATATATATATATATATATATTCGTCCAATTTTACATAAATGGTGCATCAAACTCCTAATGTTTGTCCCGTTATTGCGTTTTGTTGAAATTGGTACAGACGCAGCCATAGCTTCCATATGTATTTCGAAGGGTATCTGATAAAGATAAACTTTTTAACAGTGCGGCGAACAGAATAGCGGATATAAATTTTGCTATAAATCTTTTCCCATAAATGTGTCCGATGCTACACAGACGACTTTTAATCTGCCCGAATGAAATTAAATTTAGCATAGGTTGCAGAAAGGCATGAGCATGTTCCTTAGTGGGAACATTGGCATGCAATTGTAAGGATATATAAGTACAATATACCCAAAGTATACCCAAGTCGGCCCAGTCCGACTTTACAACTTTCCTAACTGGTTTATATTTAAATAGTTGTCAGATTTGTTCCGCATTTTTTGGTTTGGTTCTAAGACTCTGTTCAGCATTTCACCTGCGGAGGATATCGAGAAAAAATACAACGTAAGGTTCGATAATGAACTATATATGAACTATAGGCCGCATTTGACCCTTAAACTAAGTTTGGAAGAAATAATAAGATAATAATTGGATGAAATCAATTTTCTGAAAGGGATTTGGTCCAAAGAAACATGGGGTCTAGCATAAATATTTCGATGATACACATTTTCACCGTGTCAAAGTGTATACACCCTCATTAGCCATAAGGCTGAGTATACCCTCATACCCTTATCCATTAAAAATTTCTGAAAATTATATTATGATTTACATTATTGTTTACATAATCGGTTTGTAGAACTGTCGGTATAGGTCCATGTTGGGTATGTTCCCTGTGTTTTCATTTCAAATACCTGTCAGTATATCTATGGTGGCGGGTATCCACCATAGATATAACGTTTTTAACGTTTTTTCGCTTGTTTTCTAATTGCACTCACCCTTTTAAAAATCACAGCCTGGGCAGCATCTACTAAAAAAAGCAGCATGACAATATAAGCAAGAAGAGTCTCATTAGCTCTTTCCAATGTTAGAACATTTTCTCTGACACTTGTTTTTGTGGGGTTCAATTACTAACAATAATACATACATACATAACATTCGCCCGAAACACTCATTAAAACGATTAAAAAAACACCCGACCGAAAGATCACAGTTAAAACGTAAATAAATCACAGCCGGCAAAACATAATTACAACAACAACACAATAGTAATTCTCTCACACACGAACGAATTCAACGACGAAAGAAAAAGAAAAACAAAACATTTGCCGGCCCGAAAAAAAGGAACATAAAATTTTAAATGAAATACTCCCGAAAACACTTGAATTTGATAATAATTATATAATAAATGTTGTATATTTATATAAATTCACACTTATCTGTTATTTTTAACCGATTAATTCCGCAAATTCTTAACTTTTTAAATAGACGAGCAGCGTTCACGACAGACAACCGTGTAAAATAATTGTCAACTGAAGGATGAGCAATTAGGAGAGAACAGTGTTGTCAATGTTATGAAAATGGTCAACGATATATTTGAAATATAGAAAAAAAAAAACGCCGAGGTCGTTGCTTGCTTATAAATATTTTTTGACTTGGGAAAAGTGGTTAACATATTTATAGAGAGAATAATTTAATCATGAAAATCGGCAAAAGCGTAAAAGTTGATTTAAGGGAACCCCCCATTCTCGATTTTAATTTTTCAAGATTTTCAATGGGCTGGTATATCAATACAAATGCTTGTTAAGGTTTGTAACTTTGCACATATATATTTAAAGATTTAAAAGAGAAGAAAAATAATTTACAAAAAAATGTTGTTGTTGTTGTTTTTTTTTGTAATTAATAATTTTGATGGCGGGCATGATAACTCCTCACTGGAACATCGGAATCTGAAAATTCCAACGGTGTTAGAAAGAGTACATATCTGGCTCTCGTATGAACTAGGATTATTGACTTCGCTCTAAAATTAACAAATTGGCTATATCCTAGTTCATACACTCACAGAGAAACGTGTAAAAATTTGGAATCGATTGGGTTATTAGTTTTTGAGTTATCGTGCCCGCCATTCGCAAAAGAGAAAAACGCGTTTAAAGTTTGAGAAGCCCTTTAGCTGTCATTTGATGCTGACACAATAAATCGGCTATATCTTCAAGAGTTCTTGAGATTTTCTCATGAAAAAAAAGGTTGACCCCGAGAATGGTAGAAAGAATCTAAAAGGGAATTTCCAAAAATAATGTTTGTGGTTTCAGATCTGCAGAGGAGCTGTGGTTAGACGGCCAATTGTGATATATTCTCGATGGACATAGCCTTATTTGGTAGTGTCAAAGCTCATATGGATAGCTTGGGAAGACTCGACAGACGTGTAAAGTTTCTAAATTTTAGTCCTATTGTAGACCTTAATTTTTTGTTGACCTTATTTTTTTTAAATCCACTCCTACTGCAGACCTTAATTTTTTTCTAAACCTTCTTTTTTTTAAATCCAAGCCTATTGTGGACCACGCCTTTTAGAGCATGAAAAAATCCACACCTATTGTAGAACATGAAAAAACATATTTTAAAACCAGTAAGGAAATTAGTAAAGTCGGACTGGGCCGACTATATTATACCCTTCACCACTTTGGATATATTATGTCTCCTAACAGATTCCGCCTTTTCGAAAGAACTTTTACATGACATTGAACAAACTTCAATATGTTATCTGGAACCTATGCTAAATTTCATATCATTCGGGCAAGTTTAGAATCGTTTGCGTATAATGGGACAAATTTATGTAAATCGATTTTATTTACATAAATTTAATCTAAATCGGGTATCATTCTGCACTTAATTCAGTACGCTATGCCAAATTTCGTGCATATCGAAGGATATATATGGACTTTGGTACACCATTTACATAAAATCGGACGAAACTATATATGGGAGCTATACCTACATCTGAACCGATTTTCACTAAACTTTGCACACATCATTTTAGACTTAATTACGTACGCTGTGCCAAATTTCGTGCAAATCGAAAGATAAATAGGGACCATTTACATAAAATCGGACGAAACTATATATGGGAGCTATATCTTAATCTGAACCGATTTTCACGAAACTTTGAACCCATCATTTTAGACTTAATTCCGTACGCTGTGCTAAATTTCGTGTAAATCGAAAGATATATATGGGCTTTGGTGCACCATTTACATAAAATCGGACGAAACTATATATGGGAGCTATATCTAAATCTGAACTGATTTTCACGAAATTTTGCACACATCATTTTAGACTTAATGCCGTACGCTGTGCCAAATTTCGTGCAAATCGAAAGATATATAGGTACTTTGGTACACCATTTAGCTAAAATCGGACGAAACTATATATGGGAGCTATATCTAAATCTGAACCGATTTTCATCAATTTTAATAGGGTTCATCCTTGGGCCAATTATAAATGCGACCTGTACTTTGTTTACAATTTAACACCAACAGACGGACGGACATGCATAAATCGACTCAAAAGGTGATTCGATGCATATTCTCAAAAGGAACTATGTGTCTATCTCGTTTCCTTTTGCCTGTTATTATGCACAAAGACATAATACCCTATACCACAGAGTGGTGAAGGGTATAAAAATCCACGTCTATTATAGAGCATCCACGCCTATTTTAAAGCTTGAAAAATATTTATTTTTTTTTTTGTTTTTGAAATTTTCATTAAAAATGATATCAAATTTATTTTACAGATTTTCACCCGAATCCACGCTGGTGCTGGTGGCATTTATGGACTTTACACAATCCTCCAACGATCGTGTGTCTTCCGAAGACATCTTACTTTTTGCCAAGGGACCCAACTCACATCTATTTCACAGTATACACGATGAAACCTATATGGCCCATGTTATCTCTTACTCCCTACAAATGGGACCATTTCAACCCCGAAATTCAAAGAAAAAAGTTTAAACATCGATGCGTAACAGTTTAAATTGAAATTTATTTATGTGATTGTAAATTTTTATTCTGTTGTTTTTTATTTTAGTTTTTGTTTTTTTTTTTTTCAAATATATTTGGCTAACAATAATAGAAATTTATTTAAAATTTAAATTTACACATCCTCAAATTCAGAACGTGAATTAGAATTACTAGAACCATAAATATTAGATGTCATCAAGTTAAAGGGTTTTATGGGTGAGGGATTTGCAACGGGTCGTGGTGGTAAGGGAGGACTAGAGTGGTTTAATATTGGCGGACGTCCAGTGGCCACAGACGGAGTAGAAGATTCCTGACTAATTGTGGTGGTTGCGGTAATTGTTGACGAGGCCGCTGCAGCTATCCTTGGCACTGGCCGTAAAATATTTTGTCATTTAACGGGTAGCGGGACTAGAGGTGTAGGACGATTACCGAAATTCCCCGCAGCAACATTACTTAGATTACGCAAATGATTCGCCTGAACATATTGAAAGGCCGATGAACGTTCTAATTGTTGGGATAAATAGAATTCTCCTAAGGTATAGAAACGGCGATGATCGAAGGGAGCTCCGAATGGAAAGGCGCCAAAACGTGTTGTAGGATATGGCCGAGGCGGTATCATTGGTGGATATATTGGTGTATTGGGAATACGTGATGGTGTGTGAAGTGCTGCATTTAAGTGTGTTCCCACGGGTGGGTGAAGGTTTGCTGAGTTTGCGGAGGAGTTTTTAAATATATCCAATGATTTGAGATTTTCCAACATCTGATGCGAAGCTTGATGTTTTTTCAAATAGGCTTGTCTAAAATGAGAATAAAATTTATATTTCTTATTAGACATTAAGTTAAAATATGTGAGCTTTTATTAACACTTACCGTCGGAATGTTTTGCCACATTGATTACATGGGAATATCCCATCGACTCCATCGTCATTGATATTTTTGTCTGGAGAATGTCTAACTGATGTGGGAAGCCGTTCTGAATGTTGTCGCTTCTTGGCCTGACTATTAGCCAATAGTTCGGATTTGGGTTTATGCCATCGACGATGTGATGCCAAATTTGCGGGACAATTGAAGACCTGTAAGAAATTTAAGTTTATTATTAACAGGAATAATTCAAATCCTAAGAGCGGATTGTTGTTTTGGATCAGAAAAATACAGCGCATCGGTCGGGCCGAACTTGTTCTACCCCCACTATGTAGTGGACATTCGAATTACCAAAACTGCCATGAAATGGCAGATTGCAACCAGGAAAAAAAGAAATATCAAACAACAGACGCTAAGGTTGAAAAATTGGGCTAGAACGTTGAACCTATTTAAAATGTCGCGTTTTCTTTGTATGGAGGCTATATAGAAACATGGGATTTATATTCATAATGTTCCGTGAAGAAGTAGTTTGTTCATCCAGGTCTCAGAAGTTCAATGTCGATATTGAAAATTGTTGGCAATTCTGGCATTAAATCAGAACCCAAAATATATTAACCCCAAAAAAAGTTGTATAGAGTTGTATATACATTCAAAAGTGGACCAATATAAAAATGGCTAGAAACAAATACAGATTCAAAAACAGAGCGTGGACGAGCTATGGTAGCGATCCTACATGCCCAAAAACTATCAAGAAAGTTCTTTTATTTCTGAAAAGAATCGGAAAATCAGATTGCAAAAGCACATTATTTGGAATTCGACTCAGTGGAGAAATATTATGCTCTCGTATGAATTAAAGTTAAATATTAAAGAATTGGACACGAAAAAAATTGCCGTGAGAAAGTCCAAAAAATAAAGGTTATTGTCACAGTATTGCAAGGGTACTGGGAAGCATGGAGGAGGCTAAATAATGGTATTGGGCTGTTTATACCTTTCACCACGCTGTGGTACAGGGTATTATGTCTTTGTGCATATGTTTGTAGCAGGCAAAATGAATCGAGATAAACCCATGGTTCCTTTTGAGAATATGCATAGAATCACTTTCTGAGTCAATTTACGCATGTCCGTCTGTCTGTCCGTCAGTCTGTTTGAAAATCGGTCCAGATTTAGATATAGCACCCAGATATAGTTGATGCACCAAACTCCCAATATTTGTCAGATTGGGACAAAATTTTGCACAGCGCACGGAATCAGGTCCATGCGAAGTTTTGTTAAAATCGGTTCAGATTTAGATATAGCTCCCATATATAGTTCCATCCGATTTTTTGGTGAATGATACACCAAACTCCCAATATTCGTCCGATTGGGACAAAATTTTGCGCAGAGTATTGCATTAGATCCAGACTGATATCTGCGAAGTTCTTTAAAAATCGGTTCAGATTTAGATATAGCTCTTATATATAGTTTCGTACGATTTTTTGTGTATGATATACCAAACTCCCAATATTTATCTGATAGAGTAAAAATTTGCATTGCGAATGCTATTGAGAAAAAAATAATGCCTATTAACCAACACTTCCGAGTAATAGATATTTCTTCCTCCAGAAAATTGCAAAAATTACGTATCATCTTAATAAAGCCATGTCACGCCCATACCATTCAATATTTTTCCATTTTGTTTTTAATTGAATAAAAATCTGTGAAGAAAAAGTTAAGGATTTGAAGCAGAAAAATCGGTTTCAGAAACACGTCTCTATTGTGAAAAAAATCGATAGCAGATTCACAATTCATACGTATGAATGATCAACAGGCAACATCAGTACCTAGCATTTTTTCACAGACTAACATATGCCAGCTACTTCGTCATTACTTCTACATCAAAAAATTTATTTTTTTTACAAAAAACTACATTTCCAAATCTACCTCCATATCTTAACACTACACAGCAATTCTGGCCTCAACAGAAATCTAGCTCTACACTAAATTTGGTACTATTTATACCCTTTTATACTCTTGTTGTACTTATTTCCAAAACTAATTTCACATTAAATGTTTCGAGCTATAGGTTCACCCAAAGCTGATTTGATTCCAACGTAATACTAGTGTCAATATGAATATGACAAATTGTGTTTTTAAAAATCACCCAACAGGAAAATTGGGAACGCATACAATTCGAAATTGTTCTTTATTAAATGTCCTCCTGTATTCAATTTACTCAATCTGCCTGCTGGGAATGTTTGAGGAAGCAAATCTTTCTTCATGGAATTACTCGCAATTCCCAGCATTTTCATATGTGTTACACGTATAAGTGGCAATGGCTCAATTATAGGAAAGAAGCGATATAAATATAAATTTGATAGATTTTCATTCATGTTTTTCAATTTTATTTTGAGGATTCGAAAATGTTACATTTTCAAAATATGTAAATATAATTTGTTTGTTTACATTTTTCTGTCAAATGATGTTGACATTAGTATAACTTACAAGTTGTAAGTTATACTAGTGTCAACATCATTTGAGTTACAACAACAAATTTCCATGTGGTTGTTGTATCGTTTGTTGTATAACAACACTTGCTGTTACCTTCTATTATTATACCATGACCAAAACCAAAAATTTACTTCAACAGTCCAATAAAAATCATATCTCCAATATAAATCATAATCTTATAAAAATTATTTTCAAAAATTCCTGTTCACCCAAATGTATATTTAGTATCATTTAGTAGGCATAAGCTTCCGACATATCCCAAACCTATCCACCAACAGTAGTCTTAGTTCCAATTTTTAGGATTCAAAATTAGTACCACTCAGTAAACATAAGTACAATTTTCTATAGCTACCTATATCATACAAGCAGTAGTAATTTTATTCCCCAATTTCAGTATTCATCATGCCCAAATTGTATCAAATTTAGAACCATTTAGTGCACATTAGTACGACTTTCCAAAACTTCCCAACAGTGATCCTAACTCCAAATTTCAGAATTTCAGCTCTATCGGTTGATCCAACAATTTTACCAAATTTAATACCTTACTTAGGAATTTCCAAAACTACCTAATTACCTCAATTCTACATTGCAATAGTAATCTTATTCCCGAATTTCAGGATTCCAGCTCTATCGGTTCACCCAAATCTAAATTATATTGAAAATAGTGCCATTTAGTACTTTTCGTACATATAAATACAAATATCCAAAATTACATATCCTAATCATACACTCCGACGATAATGTTAATTCCAAATTTTTAGATTCCAGCTCCATCACTTTCTCCAAATTCAAATTGTACTACATTTAGTACCGTTTAGTACTTTACGTTTACAAGAGTGCATAGTTTCAAAACCACCTCCTTATTTTGACCTTACTATTCGCATTCCAAATTTCAAGTTTTTAGCTTTATCCGTTCATATGTTACGAGAGCGTAAAAAATATAGTAAATTTTTTTGCTACCATTTATTCCCTTTTGTACTCTTGCAATCGAGCTCTATAGGTCCACCGAAATACAAATTTTACCTCAACAATCCTATAAAAATCATATTTCCAATTTTCTGGATTCCTGTTCACCTAAATTCCAATTTAGTATGCATAAGCTTCCTGCATATCCCAACCCTAGACACCAACAGTAGCCTTAATTCCAATTTTCAATTTCAAATTTAGTATATATAGTAGATATTTATAGTTCGAATTTCCAAAAACCTTTTGGTACATCTATCCGACACTCCACCAGTGACTCTTATTTCAAATTTAAGAGTTCTAGCTCTACCGGTTCGCCAAATACAAACGAAACCATACTTTTGTACTTTTTAGTACTTTTCGTGGCGTTCTAGTACGAATTAACAAAAACCCAGCCTTATCTGACGCCTTCGGACTAAGAGTGACCATCACCCAAAATATTAAGATTCTAGGTTTCGTCGTTTCGTTCAGTCAGTCAGTCATATATAGATAGATAATAATCCATCGTCAGTTTTGTCCGTCTAGATGACGATCAATTGGTACAAAAGTAGTAAGTCCATTCGCTTTTAGTCTTATTCCATTCGCATATCTTTCAAATAAATATCGTTTGGTCCAATTTGGACAATTTTTGTGGGAATAAGAGAGATTTGAAACTAACATTTTAATATTTTAAGAAGGGA